TACAGTGTTTTAGCATTCAGATGCTATAGCACCATAAAACAAAATGAAGCTTTATAAGTAGTTACCTACCAGTGAAACCCAAGGCCTTTACAGTACATGCTACATACGTCTGACCTGACTTTTTTTGACTTAGGTTCTACGTATTTTGGATCCAGTTACCTGTACAGAAAGCTCGCCGGACAACCCGTTTTCTGAATCCTCACCAGCCACATTACTCACTACAAAGAAAAATATTGGACGTTTCCATCCCTATACCAGATATGAAAATATAACTTTCAATTGCTGCAATCATTGTAAGGGAGAACTCATTGCTCTTTAGTGTGTAGTGTATTGGAGGTGTACTTAGTACCCAAGATTCATTATTTGGGAACTGGGATTCTTATGCTAGAAATAAAAACAATTCATCTTTATATGATATATATCCACAAAGCTATTTCATGGACTGGATTCCAGATTATTTTTCTTAAGAAATGTCTCAGGTAAAAAAAAAGTGAAGCTATGTAGATATATTTAAAGTACAAAATACTTCCCAGATAGTTCACAGTGTTTGTACTAAAAAGCTAAAAAGGATTTGGTAACTTTCTTTTAGGCCCTAAATTATTACTTTTTGTTAAATATTTTATATAAACTATAAACAGGTTTCATTTTGGTGCGTAAAACAAAATCAGGCAAACTACAGCCGTCCGTTGGATATGGCCACGTCCATCCCTTTCTTGTGGCCTGTGCTGTGAAGAAGGACGCTTAAAAGAAATCCCACACTAGCTCAGAATTGAGTATAATAGAGGGTTATTTATTTAGTGGTAGACTCAGAGATCACAATCCTCTGCCGGAGTGGAGAACAGCAACTGAATCCCACAGCCGAAAAGAGGCCGGATGCACGCTTTACATAAGCATATATAGTATAAGAGTCCACACCCAAGTGGGCGGGCAACTTAAAGGCCACTGGTGGTGGGAATTCCCACAGCAAAGCTGTGTTCCTGTACAGCAGTGGAGTTGAGTGTGGGGCTCTAGAAACCCATTCCTTCAGAGAGCGTGTTTGCTAGTGTAATGACTGAGGTACAGGAAGCATTCTCTTTGTGCACATTTTGGGTATAAAAGACGACTTTGCAAACACTGGGGTAAAGGGATAGATCTTTCTAAGCAAATATATTAGGAAAATAAAAAGGTCTTTTTGAGCTACAACAAAAGTGTTCCATGCTGTTTGTTTTTTGCAAGGTGCTCCGTCTTCTGCATGGTTGCAGATAGACAACCTACAGGAAACAGATTCCTAATAGTGACGCATAATGGCGTGTGCAGTACAACAGGAGTATCTAGTTTGTTAATATGATGGAAGATGAGTTTCTAGGGAAATGTAATGCATTAATTTTCATATATTATGTAATATATTATTATATAATGTATCATAGGATGCCCTTTTATTATTCTTTAAATGTTCACAAAAATCTATCATCAAAAAATAAAAAATCTTCAAAAGGCAAATCTGGCCAAATCAAAATATACTTTAGTGTCAAAACCTACTGTTTCTGTCTGACTCTTCTGAGCCGTATTTATAGGTTTCAATGGCAATAAACTTCTCTAGTTTCTTCTTGTGGCTAGTCCTTTTTCCTTTCAGAATAATGTACTTTGGCTTCAATCTTCATGTGGCTTTTACTATTTACATCTGGTTTGTTGCCTTTTTCTTTCTGTTTGCACAATATAAACTTCTTAGAAGAAAACGGAAATTTTTATGACATCGGACTTGACTGTGATTTCAACAACACAGAAGCACAAGAAGTGAAAAATGAATTTCACCAGAGCTTAAAACCTCCATACATTGAGGTCCATAGTAGCCCTAAGAACAGGAGGAAAAAGAACAAATTATACATCTGAGAAATGACCAGAAGATACAGAGTGCCAATTCAGCAACCAAAAACCCTTCCAGTGAGGAGTGGGCAGAGGCTGGCGATGCCTCAGTCTGTGGAGCACTACCACACAAGCTGAGAACCAGAACCCACGTCCAGATCTCCAGCACTCCCATAATACAGATGTGCATGCAGCAGTGCACATCTGTAACCCCGCACACATGGAGCAGAAACAGGTGGGTGGAGCTCACCGAGCAGCCAGTCACTCCAGCTGGACTGATGAGCACCAGGCTGAGAAATCCTGTCTCAGACATGAAGACACCCAGTGCATAAGTTTCTCCTGTTCAGGCATGTGTGCACACTGACATTTATATATTCTACATATGCTTGCAAAAAAATGAGTGTATTATTTTATGAAATATATATTTTATATATATATATTTGCATATTATATAGCAAATAAGCATTTCAGAAGATTGCCAACATCAGTAGTGAGCTACATGTAGTCACTACCATTTTCATAAAGATGACCATTAACAAAACAGCAAGAAAGCAACTGCGGGCAACTGAAGAAACCTAGAACTGCTGCGCTGTACCAGGAGGAATGTAAAATGCAGCAGCCATTGAAAACGTGCAAGTTCCTCAACAAAACACCAAACCAACCTACCGTGTGGCCCGGCCCATCATTCTAGGTGGATAGCCGAGAGAACTTAGAGGTTGTCATGGACTCTGGTACCAGTTTTTGTAGCAGCATTTTCATAGTTTATCAAAAGGTAGATATAATCTTACAGTGAATGGCTAATAAATAAAATCATTATCTATATGATAAGGAATACATTCAACCTTTAAAATAAATGCACAGTTGACACTTGCTACAATTTAGATAAATGCTTCATGAAGTAGGTTAGATGCAAAAGAACAAATGCTGGTACCAGCATCTGAAGAAGGGCAGGAAGGGGCGTTTAAAAAAAAACAAAATTCATAGCTTTTCAGTAATGAGTGGGAAAAATTACAAGGTGACAGCTATAGGACTCCTACTTCTCTTTCTGATGAGAAGAAGTGAAAACAAAGAGTCCATAAAGTTGGGAGGGGGATGTGGTGAGGGGGGTTTAGGATGAGTTGGAGGGATTGGATGGGAGACAGATATGATCAAAACACATTGTATATATGTATGGGATTCTCAGTAAGTTAAAAATGCAATAAAATATAAATAGTGGAATGACTTAATTATTTCTCTGAAGATGGTTCCCAAATGGCCAACAACCACACATAGCTGGTTATTAGGACCATGCAAATCTGTTCAGTATCTGTCAAATTGTGAAATGGTGTGTCTGCCGTGGGGATCACTGACAAACTCTACAGTGTTCTACGCACTGCATCCTGTTTGCAGCACACATCCAAGAGAAAACACAGAGTTAAGTGTGTATACATGTGATAGCACGCATCCAGGAGAAAACACATACTTAAGTGTGTACACATGTGGTGTTCACAGCTGCACTCCTCACCACACCAAAAGCCAGGAGTGTCCTAAGCAATGAGCGAATGAGCAGAATGCTAAACATATGTTACATGTTTTCCTCCATAAAAAGGAATTAAATACTGATATATACACTATGTTGTGTGGGAGAGCTTCCAAAGCACTGTGCTAAGTGGAAGAAGCCACACATAAAATATCATGTTTTTAACTGTGAAATTTCTAGAATAGGCAAATCCATGGACAGAGAACACATAGTATCAGCTCAGAGGAAGTGTGGAGCAAGAGGCCTTGAAAGTAGCTGGTCACAGGGATGGACTACAAGGAGTGATAGAATCATCTTGGAACTACAAAGAGAGTTGGGCTGTCTAATTTATAAATATGCTAAGTGCTGCTTGACTATGGTTTAAAGAATTAGTTTTATATGAAGCTCACCTCATTAAAATTAAAGGAAAAAGTTTGGGGCCGCCAATATTTTTGTTTGTCTTTCCCAGCTAACCTACATTACAATACTTGTATACTATCAGATATATGGTAGTATCTTTAGCATTTATAAATATTAATTCACTGTCCCATCCTAATATCCTGCTTCCTCCTGCTCCCAAGCCCAACCCTAAGGTTTATCCCATTTCTTCCTATAATGAAACATATCATTTCCTTAAAAATTAAGTAAAACAATTACTCCAGACGGGACAGGTTTTGCATTTTCCCCCAAATATCTTTACTCATGAGTCAAGCACAGGGTACCATGTGTCATCAGCACTCAGTTTCGCTCCAAAGTCATATCTTGAGCCTATATTAGGTACTGTGAAGTTTGCACATGAATTCAAAACAAATCATAGTGAAATGTAAGACTGCTTGACATGCTACAAAAGTTGAAATAGGCATAAGGCATAGTGGTCCACACCTAACACCAGTACTTGAGGCAGAGGGCGGGGAGGGCTCTAAGTTCAAGGCCGACCTAGGTTACAAAACCCTATATCCCTAAAACAAACTGACAATCAAGTAGATACAGGAATAAACCATTCTCTCTGCATTTTCCAATTCTTGTAAAATACACACTAAGAGGTTATGTGAATAAATGCATGTGTGTGCACACACACGTTAGGCAAATGGAGGTCATAAAATTGTATTATATAAAGCATTCACAATGACTTTTATAACACTATTAGACATATTTTATGCACAAAGTAGAATTAAGTGTAGAAAAACTATGCTGTTGCCTTCCTATGGTAGTGACAGGCGATACTTGCTCTACACTCTAAGTCACCAGCACTAAAATCCAACTTTGACAAACAAAACTTTGTGTAAAGTCTGGATAGAAACTTGTCATTCCAACATGTTCTACTGAAAGATTTAAATGTTTATCACATTTGCTTAGTTTGTGGTGGGGATGTAGGACGTGTGCTCCACAGTGTATTTGAAAGTCAGAGGACAGCTGGCAGGAGCTAGTTCTCTTTCCACCACGTGGAGGCCAGGGATTGAACTCAGGTGACAAGTGACTTTATCGACAGCCATGTTGCTGTCCCTCTATTGCGATATTTTAAATGATTGCAGGAACTAGGAATGAAATGTATGCCTTTCTTCTGGCCTTCTGGGTAGCCATGTTAATACAGTTTAGAGGCAGAACACAGAGTCCCGTCGTGGTTCCGTTTGCTGAACAGACTACAAGGCAGCACAACACGTTCAACGCTGTGAGAGATGTTTATTTTGTGCTAGTGTGAAGACAATAAAAATTCACCATCAGCATTACCAAAAGACAAATCCCACTCTGTAATTTCGAGTATTGTCGAGACACAGGCTCCATGGGAAATGACATCCAAAACTCTGGTGACAGCAGTTTCCAATACAGGCTTTCCCAGACAGCGTCAGTTGTAGTGGTCAGTAAAGCGGAAAGACTTGGCTTCGGGCATGTTGTACAGGTTGCTCTGTAGCTGCTTGGAGCGCCGCGCTTCCAGCCGGAGCTGCCTGGCTCTCTCTTTGACAGCCTGTTGCTCGGCTAGTTTTTCTATCTGTTTTCTTCTGAGCCACCTGGAGAAAGAAGCATGGTCAGATTTGGTGACGATCATATTGTAAGCTTCTCATCTATAAACATACACAATTAGCATTTTTAATAATGAAATGGGGTCAAAAGACAAAACTGTGAAAGTAGTAACTAAATATTTCAAGCTTATTTCCCAGGCTCATTCAAGAAGGAAGTTTATACTTGGGATCAAATGCCACCACCCGACAACAGTGTCTATTTTCTTGTGAATACGTTTGCAAAGAAATATTTAGAAGACAGGTATTCTAGTGCTAATAATCATGGTTAGATTTCTGGATGATGAAGTCCTCAATGCACATTTCCTTTTCCTTTTCTAATAAAAGGTTTAGAAAGATATAGACGGGAAGAGAAGGAAGAAATGAAGGAGGGAGGAAGGGGGAAGGATGGAGAGAGGAGAGAGGGGGAGGGAGAAGGGAGGGAGGAACTTGGTACAAGTGGAGTCAGCCTTCACTGCGTTCTCCAGCCTTCCCAGAGGCTAACGCTCTGAAGTGGGGTCTGTACGCTCAGGACCACAGAGGATACAGATAACAGAAGAGAGACGTGCTGGCTTTTCCACACTGTGAAGGCGCGGTGACCTACTGTTTAAAGGCCCGCTCACGGCCCTCTGTTCCTCTCAGGAAGAACAAACACTCCTCCTGCTTCCTGAGCTCCTCTGTCTTCCTTTCTCTCATCTGCTCCTCATGCTTTTTCTTAAGCCATAATCGGAAGGCCGCTTGTGGGTCTCGGTTCACCTGCTGAGTAGGAAAAAAACACAAGATTTGTTTAATTTAGATGAACTAGCACTACCTCTTAAAGCCCTAATGAAGTTCTATAAGATGGCAGGTTCTCAATTCAGTGTTTGCAGAACACCAATTTTAAGGTGCATTCCTAGCACCCAATTCAAACGCACTGTTTCCTCTACCATCCCTGATCGTGCTCTGAAAGGAAGCAGCCTTGGCCCATCTCTTTTTCTCTCATCCTGTCTTAGGGTTTTCATAGCTGGAAAGCGACATCATGGCCACGGCAGCTCTTATGAAGAAAACACTTAGTTGGGGTGGTTTACAGTTTCGAGGTTCAGTTCAGTATCATCATGGCAGGTACATGGCAGCATGCACACCTGGGGTAGCTGAGAGTCCTACATCTTACAGGCAACAGGAAGTTGACTGACACACTGGGCAGTATCCTGAGCATAGGAAACTTCAAAGTCCGCCCCCACAGGGACACATTTCCTCCAAGAAGGCCATACCCACTTGAACAAAACCACACCTCTTAATAGTGTCACTCCCTATGTGATTATGGGGGGCTAATTACATTCAAACTACCACATATCCTATTGAGGCAAATGGGGAGTGGAGCTTAGGAGCCTTTGTGTGGCATGCTCAGTGTCCTGAGATCCATCCTCAGCACAGCACAAATAGTCTTACTGAGAAATCAACTAACGGAGAAAAGTAATGGCTTGGTTTTCAGAGTGAATTTTTTGCCTAAGGAAATACTTTCCCCCAAAGATACAATCATCTAATTAAGAATGGAATGAGTTGTAGGCTTTGGAGTAGTTCCAGAACATTCCATGGAGCACAGATTATTAATGTGTAATTCAACAGTGTGTTAACCTTTTCCTTAAATTCTATATTCTTCAGTTTTAACAGCATCCGTCAGAAGATACTTAACTGCTAGGTACATCTTCAAAACTAATTATTGGGACTGGAGAGATGGCTCAGCAGTTAAGAGCACTGCCAAGCTCTTCCAGAGGACCCAGAAGCCACATGATAGCTCACAACCATCTCTATCTCTGGTTCCAGGGTATCCACTGGCCCCTTCTGGCCTTCACCAGCACTGAGCATTTGTGGCACACAGACATACATGCAGGCAAAATTCCCATACCCATAAAGTGAAAATAAATCCTTGAAAAACTGAACTAATTATTGCTGAATGTACACACACACACACACACACACACACACTCATGATTTCGCTTATCTATTTTTCATAGTATTTGTCACTTAACATTTTATTTTATATTCCAAAATTTTTTAATATTTATTTATTTATTTATTTATTTATTTATTTATTTTGGTTTTTCGAGACAGGGTTTCTCTGTGGCTTTGGAGCCTGTCCTGGAACTAGCTCTGTAGGCCAGGCTGGTCTCGAACTCACAAAGATCCGCCTGCCTCTGCCTCCCGAGTGCTGGGATTAAAGGCGTGCGCCACCACCGCCCGGCTTAATATTTATTTTTTACTTATGTTTGTGTCTGTGTGTATATGCATATGTGTGCAGGTGCCTGTGAAACACAGACAGCATTGGATTCCCTAGAGCAGGAGTTCTGGGCAGTTGTGAGCCACCTGACCCGAGGGCGAGGAGCCCCACTCTGAGGCTCTACAACAGGAACAGGCACTCTCAGGTGCTGAGCCATCGCTCCACCCTCTAGGGGTTTTCAAATGTTAAGAACCCCGTCCTCCATGTGCTCCGGAAGGCAGAATATCCCTGCTTTGGTTGGGACTCTATTCCTGTACACGAGACAGCACGTGCCATCCAATAAGGAAGCAGAAAAACCGCTACAGTGGATACTTGGCAACTTTACTTCACATTTCTTTGATTTTTCATCTGCTATGGTCACCTGTAGGGAACTTCCTATCCACTCCTTTACTGTCTTTTCAACAATTGCTCTAACAATATAAAGACTGAAAGTATCAATATTTGTAGTAATTTTGAAACCCCTAATTAGCCTTTTATGGAATTTTTATTAAAACAATTTTTAGGAATCCCTTTTTATTGTTTCAAACTGTGTGTATGTGTACACGTCTGTGTTTGGGTACGTGTGTGTATAGTGCCTGTAGAGACCAGAGGTATCAGACACTGTGGAGCTGAAGTCACAAGCAAATATGTGTATGTACACGTCTGTGTGTGTGTTTGGGTGTGTGTGTGTGTGCAGTGCCTGTACAGACCAGAGGCATCGGACACCATGGAGCTGAGGTCACAAGTGAATATAAGGCATGTGTGGGTGCAGAGAATTGAACCTAGGGTCTCTAAAAGAGCAGCTGGTGTTCCCAGCTACTGAGTTATCTCATCAGCCCTGAGGAAAATAAACTTTGAGGAGCAATGCTAGTGAGGGAAGCAGCTCAGCAGACTGCACATCTTCACCTCTCCCTCCTCTCCTCCAGATCCAACCCCAGTCTTACCCCTAGCTCTGTAGCAGACCACCACCCGAGGCTTCCCCTTCCTTTCTGTCTTATCTCTAGAGGATTACACAGGATCTTCTTCAGCCTCCATCAGCACCCCATCCCTCTGTCTGGGTCACCAATTCACAAGGTATTGCCTGGGAACCCATCAGTCATGCAGGCCAGGGATGCAGATGGGTTATCCTCAGACCTACAGTCTCCCTCCTCTCCTCCAGATCCAATCCCCCAGTCTTATCTCCAGCTCTGTAGCAGACCAACTTTGGTAGCCTCTCCTTCCTCTTTACCCCCATTCCCAGGGGACTAGGCAGGTCTTGGTGGTACATCCTGCTTTCCTCTCTCCTTTGTGCCCCCCAGCCCCCCGACCCCAGCCCATCTCCATTCCTAATGTCAACTCCCAATACCTAGAAACACATCCTACCTGAACCCCCAGGGACTACACATGGCAGAACCTCAGAAACATCTCCTACCAGGCTACCCACGGTCACCACGCTCTCCTCAGAACCAGAGAGGGCAACAGAAGCCAGGAATGGAACACCCATTCAACCAAGACAAGACCAGATGTCAGCAACGAGAATTTCAATTTTCCCAAACCCAGACGCCTAGATAGAAGTGTACAAACATGATTGGCGACAGCCAGGACAATATGTCTCCACTACAGCCTAGCCACCCTACTACAGCAGGCCCTGAGAAATGCAATATGGAAGAAGCACAAGACAAGAACTTCAACATGGCCTTTATGGATATGTTAGAGGTCCTTAAAGAAGACACGAATACATCTATTAAATCTACAAAAACAGTGGAGAGTGAAATGAAGAAAACAGTTCAAGACTTGCAAGTGGAAATAGAGTCAATAAAGAAAACCCAAACTTAGAAAAAACTGAAATTAAAAATTTAATGGACCTCAGGGGCAAACACCACCAACAGAATACAAAAGATGAAAGAGACAGTCTCAGGCATTGAAGACAAGATAAAAGAAATGGATACCTCAGTCAAAAAAATATTAAATCTAAGAAACTGGAGGCATAAACCGTCCTGGAAATCTGTGACACTATGTAAAGACTAATTCTATGAATAATCCGGATAGAGAAGGGAGAAGAAACCTAGGTCAAAGGCACAGAAAACATTTCTAACAAATCATAAAATAAAAAAATCCCTAACCTAAGGAAAGAAGGGCCTATCAAAGTATAAGAAGCATACAGAACACTAAATAGACTGGACCAGAAAAAGTCCCCTTGGCATATAATAATCACTAAATGTACAGAACAAAAATAAATAAATATTAAAAGCTGTAAAGAAAAAAGTAACATATAAAGGCAAACATATTAAAATTATAGCTGTCTCAATGCAGACCCTAACAGCCAGAAGGTCCTGGACAGATGTGCCAAAGACTCTAAAATCAGACTACTATATCCAGCAAAACTGTCAATCATAATAGATATAAAAGACATTCCAGCCAGGTGGTGGTGGCACACGCCTTTAATCCCAGCAGTCGGGAGTCAGAGGCAGGCAGATCTCTGTGAGTTTAAGACCAGCCTGGTCTACAGAGGTAGTGCCAGGACAGACTCCAAAGCTACACAGAGAAACCCTGTCTTGAAAAACAAAACAAAAGACATTCCATAATGAAAATCAAATTTAAGCAGTATCTATTTATAAATCCAACCCTACAGAAGTTGCTAGAAAGAAAACTCCAACCTAAAGAGGTTAACTACACGCAAGCAAACTGGGAATAAATGATCCTAGACCAGCAAATAAAAAGGAGATAAAAACCTACACTACCACCACAAAATAACTGAAATCAACAAACACTGCTCATTGATAACTCTCAAATTCAATGTCTCGATTCCCCAATAAATAGACTACAGAGATATTGCACATCCCTTGAATCTTAAGAGCTGAAACCTACAAATGTAATAAACAGTATGTAATAAAATATGATTACTAGACTAGAAAAATATTTATAGCAGATATAATGGGTAAAGAATCAAAACCCTTAATATAAAACTCAATGAGAAAAATAAAACTGATTTCGATCCTTAATTCCGACTGACCAGCTATATAAGTGTACATGACCTTTTCTTTCAGCTCAGTGAGTTTACTAGAGAAATTCCCAGAAATCAGGGAAGAACTTACCCTTTAGGGTTCACTGTGTTACTAAAGGATATCGGAGCAGCCAGATGTCTCAGTGGGTAAAGGAGTCTGTTGCCAAGTCCAACTATGCCAGGCACCCACAAGGTGGAAAAAAAGAACTGGCTCGCAAAAGCTGTATTCTGACTTCTGCAATGTGACAAGCACAACACACCTGAGCATACACAAACCTTTACAAAGGAATGTGGCTGGGTGGAGCACTAACACTGGTGAGATGAGGCAGAAAGAAACCAAGTTCTTCACAAGTTAAAAGATACACTTGGCGCTCTTATTGCATAGAAGTTAGCCTGGGCTAAATGGCAAGGCTGTTTAAAAAGAAACAGAATAAAACCAAACCACAACCGAAAGAATGTAAGAAGAGGAGAGGGGCTAATAGCTCAGAGATAGTGCTGCCCTTACAGAAGACCCAGGTTCAGTTAACTGGACCAGTGTGGTAACTCAACCACCCATAATGCCAGTTCCAGAAAATTTGTTGACCTCTCATGGCCTTCCTAGGTACTAGGCACACATGTAGTACACATATATTCCTGCGGATACCCTCTCTTACACATGCATAAGAATAAAGAAGGAAGAAGAACGGAGTTCCCTGAAAAAGGCAAATGGGAAGGGGCTTGAAGTTCCTAGATCTGCTCCACGGAACAGCAGCACCCAATTTAACAAACCCAAGAGCTCTTCAAACCCCCGGGGGCCAGGAATCTGTTGAAGGCTTCATAGAAGATGTATGGATTAGCCCAGGTTAGCCTCTTCCTCCCCACTTCCTATCCTTGAGGAGAAACAGGAAGTTCCAAGCCCTGATCATGACGTAGTGTTTCTAGACATCAGCTCTCATCCAGAGCTGTTCCTTTAGAACCAGACAGGCATGGCTCAGAAACCCCTCAGGGATGAGGTGCTCCCTGCAAGCAATCAAAATCAAAAACCAAACACTACAACAAAATCAAATACTAGAAAAAAAAAGACCCACTTAGCATCCCTGCTCTTCCAGGAGCAACACAGGATTTTAGCAGCTCTGGGCAAGAACTAAGGATGAAACCAGTATTCATGTCCTTTTTACTATATCACAAACACAAACCTGTACACACACACACTAGAATCGATAGTATTAACATCAAGACAAACTAAGTTAACATCAAGACAAACTAGGAAGATAAATCACACATGGTGTTAGCTAAACTGTGGTAAATAAACTGTGGAAAATATATCACTCACTAGCGCAGGAACTAGAAATTGTTTTAAACTTGGGTGGCTGATTTCATGTTGCAAAAATTAACACTCTGAACATTCAAAAGTTTTAAATTTCACCCTGAAGAAACTTCCTTGCAGTCTTCTTAATGTTCCTCATATAATGTGCAGCTTTACTGAAGCACAGAGATACAGAATATTGAAAACACTGAGACCTATCTAATCCTGCATGAGGAACAAGTTAGTTAAGAATAGAAGTTAGATAGTTAAAATAAAGGCCTAGAAAGATGTCCACGATGAAGTGAAAGCAACCACATAATGAACTTTTAAAAACAAGATAGGTAAATATTAAAAATAATATATGGTATGATTTCATTCTTATTCATTCATGTGTATGCATGTGTATCTGTGGGTGCCCAAGGCCTGGCATCTGATCCCCTGGAGCAGGAGTTACAAGTGGCTGGGAACCACCCCCTGTGGGTGGCGGGAATGAACTTGGGTGCTCTGAAAGAGTAGGCAGGGCTCTCAAAAGCTGAGCCAGTCTTGCAGCCCCTGTATTTCAGGTTTTTTTTTTAATTAATTTTGTGGAGCTGGAGAGATGACTCACTGGTTAAGAGACTTGGCTGCTTTCCCAGAGGACCTGGGTTCAGCCCCCATGGCAGTGCACAGTTCTCTGTAACTCCAGTTCCAGAGCATACAATGTCCTCTTCTGATGCCCTCAGGTACCAGGTACACACACGGTGCACAAACATACATGTAGGGAAAACACTCAGACACATAAGTAAAACAAATTAAAAAATTGGCATTTTTAAATTTGATTTCTGACAACTCTCAAGCGACACCAGTCTGTAGGTTTGTAAGCAGAAATGTGTGTATATCCATCCACTTTGAATGCTATGATTAAAACGCCTTGAAATGTGAATTAATAATTTCTATTTTCTGGGCTAGGCAAGTTGGAACAGTTAGAATCATCTGACTTTTGCCAGGCTTTGAGGAAACGACAGAGCTGTCCGTGCATAAGGCACCTTCTGCAGGGCTAGGCTTGGGCCCCGGTTCCTCCTCCTGCCTCCCTTCCATATCTGATGCTGGGTCTCACAGGGGACGTCTCTCACCCGGCTGTTCATGTCTTCGATCTGCTTTGCCCGCTGGACTCTCCGCATCTCGATGACCTGCTCTCTTTTCTTCTGTAGCCAGGCTTTGAACACCATCTCGTTCTCTTTCTTCTTCTCATTCTCTTCCTCTATTTTGCGTTGTTCTTCCTGGAAGGGGGATCATGAAAAGGCGTTAGTGGAAAGTTCATGAAGCCGTATGGGAGTCGAATAGAGCCATTTGAGTTCGGAAATTAGGATTCCCTGCCTCAAAACTTTCCAAATGAAAATTCCTCTCTTTTACACATAGGGTGGCCTCTAATTCCTGTAAGAAGTTCTGTAAGGCAGTTAAGCCAGGCAAGAGTACAGTTACACGGTGTTCCTTACAGGCCACTGAGAATGCTATGTATCGTTTGTCAACTCTTGGGTTACTTTTGGTACCAATTAACTAAATTACTTAAAAGCAAACAACAGCACATTTTAGAAGCGCTGTCAATTGCCTGAGCGTTTTCCATTGTTAATTGTGATGCAGCTGTGAAATAAAATACTTTACTCACTCAGAAATGTGTGGGAAACACATGCAGACAACAAAGAATGTGGCAGATGCCTTGTTTTAAAAGCACTTGAACCAGTGTTGGGAATGTAGCTAGTTGACGGAATGCTCCTAGCAACCTTGGTTCTATCCTCAGAGCAGCAAAATACTAAAATTAAAGCAATAACTGAGCTTTTAAAAAACAGGAAACAGAGAAAATACGCCAAAATTTGAGTCTTCTGATAAGGATACAAGAGTTATGTTGTTTTATAGGTGTTTGAAATTTTTTATTAAAATGTTTTTCAGGTCACTGATGTTCCTAAGCTAGTATTTTTGCTGCTATCAGAAGCTCACTTAGAGACTTGGTTAACTATTAAGGAAAAATGAAATTGTATCTGAATTACTCATCTAACTGTCATAAAAAGAAGCTATCAAAACCTGAAGGAAGCTACTTACATCCATTCTGTAGATCTGTAAGGTAGTCACGGAGAGGATAAGAACAGAGTGTAGTGGGAACAGCACCAAGCTACAAGTTAGATATGAGCCGGAATCTCTGTGATTGTACAGTGTCAGTGTGGCTGTGGCATTGGACTTCCTCCCTGCTATTCTCGTCACGTGAGATTTCAGGTGGCATTGGGAAGCATTTCATTAGGGATATCGGGCTCTACTCTCCCTTCCCCAGGAGTGGGGCATGCTAGACACTGCTCCACCACCGAGCTCCGTCCTCAGCCAAGCTCCACTCTCAATCTAAAACTAAAATCCCCGAAATCAAGGAATTGGAGACACAGAAGATATAGGACGTGCACACAGATAAAATAACGACAGTGCAAGTTAGCCTGTTGCCTTCCTTTCGACATGTAAGATTTGATTCTCACCTATCTCCTATAACCTGCCTTCAAGGGTCACCCTTAAAATGACAGTGCCATCTGCAATCTTGTCTGGCTCTAATGTAGATGTTCTACCATCTTTTTTTTTTTTTTTCTTGGATTTTCGAGACAGGGTTTCTCTGTAGTTTTTGGTGCCTGTCTTCGAACTAGCTCTTGTTGACCAGACTGGTCTCGAACTCCCAGAGATCCGGCTGCCTCTGCCTCCCGAGTGCTGGGATTAAAGGCGTGCGCCACCACCGCCCTGCTGTTCTACCATCTTTTGTGTTGTTTACGAGAAAGGGTCAAGGTAGTGAAAATGTTACACACACACACACACACACACTCACTTTCAACACTTACGCCAGCAATTTAACAACAGTAAAGTAAATAAGTAAATCCCTGCTGTGTGTCACTGATAAAATATAAAAAATACTCTCCCACTTCAACACAAATGCACACTGGCCTTCCTCCTTACCTCCCTCTTTAGCTTTTCTCTCTTCCGTTCTAGCTGCTTTTGGAGTTCTTTCTGCCGTGGCGACAGACAATACGTTGAGGTCACTGGAGAGACATTGGCAGACTGTATCCTGTGATTAGATCTCCTGCTTCTTTTATTTAGATCTGGGTTGGCAGCAGAGCTTGGACGAATTTTGGGGTTGGGTGGTGGCTGAGGGACTTGAGCCAGTGGCTCCTCTGTTGGGGAGACAGCCACAGTGTGAACCTTTGCCGCAGGCTCTTCTTTCTTGACTCCACCAGCAGATGGGGTGGGAGACCTGAGCGGCAACTGGGGGGTTTCATTGTCTGTACTGTTAGCACTATTAATGGGAGGCAGAAAGCCCTGACTCTCGATGTCTTGTAAATTCATAAGTTCAAACTTCCCGTCTCTCTCTACCAGTATCTTCCTGTCGTTGTCTTCACAGCTGCTGTCAGGAAGCACTTTCTCTTGTCCTAGTTCACCAGAAATGCATAGCTGAGACAGTTTTCCAGACATATTGTTTTCGTTGTCTGAGAAAGTTTTGCAAGTGTCGCTGTCTTCTAACGGTGGGACTTCTAAATCAACTAACTTGTCCTTGAACTTCAGTTTTCGCTGCCTTTTATCATTCACAGGCTCTTGATTCTGTAGGATCTTGTTCGCCTCTATAATTTTCTCCATAATATATCTCCTTACTTCCTCGTCCTCTTCTTCCTCCAGCTCTCTCTGATTTTCCTGTTTGAAGTCCTGGAAGGAGTTCTCACTGTCTGAGTCTGATATGGGATCCAACGGCTGAATGCTTGGGACGGAAATGAAGTCATTTCTTCGGAGGGAGGCCTCGTCCTTTAGGGGTTTATCTGGATCAGAGAGCTGTTGGCTGTGTTCTGTTTCTGGTCCATCCTCTTTTAATTCCTGGTCAAGATCGTCTTCCTTCTTGCAATCCATCTTTAAAAGAGACACGAGACTCTACTTACCAGTACAATTGAGATTCTGGTCATTTATTTGGGGGACAATTGAAATGGATTTTTTTTCTGTTCATGCAGTTTATACACAGGGGAATTTAAGTGCTTCTGGCTTACACTTTACTCATAATATTATAAGCCATACTTTTGAGCACCTCAGAGAAATACTGGGAAAACAATGAGTCCTCGTTATCACGCTCTAACTCGTCAACCCTATGTGCCACATCTGGAGCTGCTCTAGCTGCAAGACATTGCTTCCACCTCGCCTCTCAGGAGAGCTCTGCCTCCACTCCTTCTGGACACTTCTAATATGATGCATGAAACTCGCCTCAGAGAAGCTTCACTTTTGCCTTTTCCCCAAATATTCTGCTTCATTTACGACTTTACCACTTAACTAATCAAGATGGCGTTAAATCTATAAAACCCACTGCCTTCATTTCCTCAGACTCTCCCCGTTAATTCCCTCAAATCTGAATAACTATTCTTATTGTTGTCCTTCTAAAGTCACCTCATTTGATATCCAGTCATATTCTTTGTTACATCTTCATTTATTGACACTAACTATATATAAATATATGTGCTGAGTGTGTGTGCACGTGCGCACGCAAGAGCACACTAGCACCAGGAACAGCTGGGGAAGGTTCACGTTTCCTGACTTTCCCTTCCATATATCGGAGCAATAGCACAGCATCCTGGGTAATATACTTCTACAAGCGTGTGTGTGTGTATGTGTTTGTCTGTCTCAGATCAATCCTTTATTTTTTCCTCTATCTTCATTACTCCCAAGCACTAATTCTGTCTTAGAGTTTCAGTTATTAACTGGAAGATTATACTTTTAAAGGATTTATTTATATTAAAAGTATAAACACATGATTTTTTCAGGCTTTCACCTTTGATGTATGAAATCATGTTAATTATTTAGATTAAAATTTCATTAGCACTTGAGCTTTGTTAAATGCGTTTTAATTCTCATTCACCCAAGCTTTAAGGCACAGAATTTAAATCCTCTGATGTCTCCACTTCTTATCTCCGAGGCGGGGGATAATGGCATTTAGTCAATACACATCAAGAAAACACCGCGAAGTTTAACTGCGATACCATGAATGGAAAACCTTCCAGGTGGCGAAGCACTCGCCAAATGTGACTGTCACGAGCACTATTGGCGGTTTACACATACCTCTATTATGCCGCCATTACTTTTCTCTTTATCATTGATCAGCCACTCCAGGTCCTTCTCAAAGTCGTCCTCATATTCCCCACTTTCTTTTGAATCTATCGATTTACTTTCATCCATTTCTCCACTTGTCAATGAACGATGCTGTACGATTTAAAAGATAAAGGTGCGTGTTTAGCCAGTTGAGAGGTGGCGTGGGGACAGAGATCAGTGTCGCAGGTGAGCTAACTACCACATAGAAACGTGTAACAGGAAGTGTTCGGGTAACTGTGTTTGTACACACCCCTCAATGGCAACGCATTTCCATGGCAGACATTTCTAACAATGCTGTCACCCCCTCCCGTTCTCCCACCCCCAATCTATGAGATTTCTGCGGTAGGTAAGAAGACGGAGGCTTAGGAAGGGATTTTCCCCGTCCCCTGCCAATCAGCAAAACTGCTGCAGCGAATGATGCAGTTTGGGCTTTGTGTTGAGGTTTAGTTCTTAGCTATTTGGATAAAGAAGGAGTCAGCTAACTGGATAATAATCATTTCTAAAATATTAGTTGTACTCTTTCCATATATTTAATTTTCACATTCCTTTAAGCTAAAAATATAAAACAGGCTGTCTTGACAAACTCAAAGATAAGGCTTCAATAACTTCTCAGTGGGAAGTTGAGGGCAATAACATTTTGAGGTGACTTGGATGAGCCGACATCCACCGTCAAGACAGGTTAAATTACTTAACAATCTACCTCTGAGCTATTAAACAAAGACTTTTATGCATCATGACTTAGAAAAAATATTACCTATATGAAATCTAAAATGCTAAATTCAAAACCAGGATCAATATAACAAATAAAAATCTATCAGACATACTAGGAGCTATTAAAGTCATACAAGTAAATGTAAGTTAAAAGAAAAAGTCATAGGGAACGTGAATGAGAATTAGATGAAGTTGTATCAAATCTGAAGTGTAGTTGAATTTCTCTAACTCCAAAAGAAACATGGCCACCGGCTCTTGTGTCAACAAACAACATAAGCAGGAGGTCTTGTTGCTAAGTCCCTTACGCCTTTCAAATGAGTCACGATTCAAACCTCCGATTCTTTAATCACCATCACCAGGACACGGTCCATAGGACACACACGGTACATACTGGAATACAATGATACCTTCCATATCATTGTATGACTTAGCATTTCCTACTTTATTACTGTGAATTTCGCATATTTAAAGTTTATCATCAATAAAAATCTACAAAAGTGGTTCAGGCCAGATCCACCCTCAGTAGTGAACTGCAGTAGAAATGAATTCTTTGCTCTTAAGTCTGTGAAAATTCATGAGTGGGTAGGTGTCTAACGACCTCAGTGTGCATATATATATATTCACATTATGCTGACAACTTTATTCCCAGATTAAAAATATTGAAAAAGGCATTAATCTGATACTTCGGGCTCAGTCTTGTCCTATATAACCTTTTAAGCAATCCTTGTTGAATCACCAAGAACCCAGAAAATAGTAACGAGAAAGCTTTTTCACATAAAATAAGCATTTAGCAAAAATTATTTTTAAAAGTAGTTAAGCAAAACCTCACAATATTATGAAACCATCAGGTTCATCCTACCTGATGCAGTCTGATTAAGACTGCGGTAGTATGTCTGTTACAAGTTCTGACACTAATATTTAATAAAATTAGGCAATGATTTGAATTCGTATTGAGCATCCTAAATTGGCACCAACTAAATGGATAGCATTCCGTGTGTAGAAGCTAACATTCAGGAGTAATATATATTTTTTTCCATGCAAGTCACCTTTCACATTTAAGAACTTTGAGAAGGGGGTATAATGTGACAAAAATGCAGAGCTGGCGTCTAAGCCACTCTCTGAGGGGTTCCCCTTGCGCATGGCTGCAGTGATGCTGTGCCAGGCTGGGGAGATCCTGGGGCTTATCCTGGAAAGACAGCTCATCTCGAGAGCTTCACCTACCTCACCTCCCCGCTAACCCAGACGTTTATCCTCTTCCTAGTCCTCCCACCAGAATCTGTGTCCTCCTTCCCTCCTCTCCCGCCAAGTGCCCTCCTGCCTGTAGAAGATGCAGCGGCGGGGGGCACAGAGACAGCCGCGGGAGCTTACCTCTCCTTTTCTAAGCTCTGGTGAGGCAAGGGTGACACCTCCGGGCTGGCTCCTGATGCAACCAGCACCCGGCTGCCATGGCAACGGCGCGTCTCTTCGGTCTTCATCCGGGCACCCCACTCCTGAGGCTCCGTAGGCTCGTGCGCAGCCGCAGAGCGCACCCCGCGAACACCCGCACCTCACGTCACGCCAGGGTTTCCCAGACCAGGAATCCACACTTCGTTGAGGTTTTCACGCCGCACGAGGGCCTGACGAAGGTACACTGCCTCGGGCGTGGATTTTGTATAACGCGACAGATTTTGAATTTGTTGCCAAAACTTATAAAAGTGCATTTCGGTTTTCATTTTCTCAAGTTAATATTTTTAAAAAATAGCAAATTGTTAATTGCTGTGTCGATCCTCAGTTTTTTTCAAAAAAAATCAAAATTTTACTTACAGTAAGCAGTTCTGAAAGAAAATAGAACTTTTACTTCTAGCATTCAAGCCTATCATGACAACCAGCTACAGTTTCCCCCATAACTTCCCTAAATATCTGTACGGATAAAAGGAAAATAAGGTAACATTCAGGTTGTGGTGACAGGTAGCAGGGCAGATAACCAATCCAGGCAGGAGGGAGCTCACGAAATAGGTTGCAAACAGAAAGATAGGCAAACAATGTGGTGCAGGTGAGAATTCATCTTAAAAAGGGTGAATTGGGAGGAGATTAAAACAGAAATGTTTTCTGCAAAGTGTTTACTCCAGAGCTTACTTTTGACAAATAAAACGAAGTTTGGGCGACGAACGGCCGCCATGCCCATAGAGATGGCTGCCGGTAAGAAGACAGAAGGCGTCTACTCCTTTTGTTGACTTGAAGTACGCCAGCTGGCGTGCAGCATAAAACGAAACCCTTTGGCTCATCACCAGCCATTGAGGCCCATCGCGGCCCTTCGGCGATTGCAAACATAACGTGGAAATTAATAATGCGGTCTAGGGATAAAATTGTCGCTGCTCATTTCCTTGGAAAAGGTAATAACCGCATTCATTCCTACGGAACTGTGCGCTCCCTCTCAAGTCGAGACAAGGTTTTAAGCATGTACAATCCCTTACCCGTATAGTCACTGAGATGTCTGATGAATATTTATTCTATGAACTAATTGTAAGGTTTACAAGATAATTTTATTGTGGTCAATTTAGTTATAAGTGTAACTGATTTCATAATTTCCTTCTAACGCTGTCTGCTAAGAATGAAGTTTATAGAAGGAAGGACTCTTTGATGAGAGAGGTGAGATGAGAGAGGAACATATTTAGAAAATAGGACATTTTAAAAATCAGCACCCCGATAAATAGAATTATGAGAAGTACCACGAGTGTACACGATTTACACATAGGTAGGGGGATGATGGTGGGATACTAACGTCACACTTTGTAATTTCAAGTCCAGCAGGTCAAGGTACCCACTCCACCATATGCATAAATGCCTTTTAATGTCCTCATTTCTCCGAGATTATTATGCCCCCATCCACGAAGTCCCCCCAAAACCAGCAAGGAGACAGAGTCCTGTATGTTAAAGCAAAGAGCCTTTATTTTATGCAAGTTCGCAAACTTGGTCTCTCTGCATGTCTAACGTATTGGAATAAATGGAGAGCCCTGAGCTCAGTTAGAGTTGGGTTTTTATAGTAGTAAAGGTGGGGGTGAGGGGTTTCTGAGGTTCAGGACTCCTGATTGGTGGCTGACATTTGTTTAGGGGTGTCCTGGTGAGTGTGTGCTGGTAGTGATCCTATCTTGGAACATTAGGCATTTCCTTTGGATGGTCTGTTCTTGGGTGGTGCTTGGGTAATCTCAGCTTGTGGTTCTTCTGCAACCAGGTATTGCTTCAGGGTAAACTACTGAGACGCAAGCCTCTATTAAACTTAGCGATGGCTGAGTCCTACACTGGCAGGTGATATTGGTTGGAAGTAAAGAACTTCCTTTGGGTGGTCCGGTTCTATTTAGCTTATCGTGGCTGGCTCCTACAAGATGAGCCCACTTAGGCTGCCAGTGACCCACCAAGGGAAGAAAATGAAGGGCATAGGTGGACTTAGGAAGAACCAAGTACATGAAGAAGAGGAATTTGGTTGCTGTTATCTTTCCCTTGATTTGTCACTGTTAATTATCAATATGATACTGTATTTTGCCTGTAGGGTATAGAACTATGTGAATTAAATCGACTGTGCACAAAGTTGGTGTATGTAAAATTGCAATACATTTCTCTTACCTACTGTTTAATATTAGTTATAATTATGAAATTTAAATGTATGTATCCTAAAATAATATCTAAGCAATCGATACTACCACCCCAATTTATGTCTTTATTCATTATACAATACATAGAAATACAGTGTAAATTTAGGTACCTTCTATAAATGCTTTGACTTGGCAAAGACATTATTTTACTTAAAGAAGAAAAATCAGACCTGTCAAAGCGTGAAAGATTGAAAAGATGCGACAAAACATTCTGTAGAATGCTCAGAGGAGTATAGTTCATAGAAACTATTCTGACTTTTGCAGATTGTAAGAAGATTTTGTCGTCAACAAGTAGCGAGTGACTCGGTACTAAAGGGTCAGATGCGGCTCCATGCGTTTGGAGTGAACTACCGTAACCACTGGAAACCTGAACCCCACCTAGAGTCCAGCTGCAAAAAAGAAATGCAAAAGGCTTACAAGACAGAAAGATATTATGAAGTTCATAAGCCTCTCACAGACCTTATTTTCATAATTCGGATTTCTGAATTCTCTAGCCAGTGCTAGAAGTGAAAAAAAATAATAGATGGGATTAGCGAAAAAATTTAGATGAGATTAGTGAAAAAATTAAATTAGGGAAAAAAATTAGATGGGATGTTTAAGTGGGTTTAATTTTCTGGTTTTACTCCTATGTGCTCTACCTCAGCCACTCATTCATTTGAAGCAGTGGTTCTCAACCTTCCTAATGTGTCAACCCTTTGACCCTTTGACACAGTTTCTCATGTGGTAACCTCCAACCATAAACTATTTTCATTGCTATCTCATAAATGTAACTTTGGTACTGTTAGGACCTATAACATAAATATCTGTGTTTCCCAATAGTCTTAGGAGATCCCTGTGAAGGGGTCGCGACCCACAGGTTGAGAACCACTGATTTAGAGGCTGTAAGGGCTGTATTACTGTAAGACTGTGTCATATCCACTCGGGAGGCAGAGGCAGGCAGATCTCTGTGAGTTTGATGCCAGCCTGGTCTGCAGACTGAGTTCCAGGACAGGCTCCAAAGCTACACAGAGAAACCCCGTCTCAAAAAGCCAAAACAAACAAACAAAACCTGTCTAGTTTGAAAGTAATTATTAAAACTGAGATTTTGTATATTAAATATTTGATAATATAATGACATTAGGGTTTTTTGCTGTTTTAAAAAAGATTTAGTTATTCGTGTCTTTTATGTATATGAATGTCCTGTCTTTATGAACACTAGAATCTGCCCCATTACAGATAGTTGTGAGCCACTATGTGGTTGCTGGGAATTGAACTCAGGACCTCTGGAAGAGCAGTCAAGTGCTCCTAACCGCTGGGCCATCTCTCCAGTCTCCAGACAGTGTTTTTTAAACTTAAATATTCATTGCCTTCAACTGAGAGATTTCTTGTGGAAGGAGAGAAAACAAGGAATGTAATAATAAACAATAGCAAAAATACAAAATAATAAACACTATGTCAATAAACTTTTCATTGCTAACAAATACCTTCTAGAAGCAATTTCCTGGGAGGAAAGCTTGACTTTCCTTGGTGGGTGGCACCCCAAGGCTAGCATGCTCTGTGTTTCTGGGGTGCAGCGAGGTGGAGGGTTATGTCAGAAGTGTTTGTCAGAGACAACTCCTCACCTGTGGTAGCCAGAAAGCTGAGAGAGAGTGGGGGGGGGGGCCTGTATTAGATTGTTCTCCCTTTCACCCTCTTTTTTTTTTCAGCTGGTAACCCAGCTTACCACATCCAGCTGGCCACAATAAGGGTGGGCTTTTCCTTGCCAGGAAATACCCTCACAGCCATACCCAGAGTCAACCTCTCCTAATTTCCGTGGGCTGTCTCAATCCAAACAAGTTGACAATGTTAACCATCGCATATGCTGAATAAGTTATGTTATATGATACGGTATATCAGAAATATTTAATATCTAACTATAGTTATAATGATAACAGACCTAATAATTAAACAAACAAACAAGCAAACATTCTTTTGAGATTTACCCTTGAGTCACACTGGAGGCCAGAACACTAAAGTTTGTCTGTGACCCACAGCACAGGACGAATTCGCTTCTAGCTCTTTTGCCAGCAGCACATTCCCAGGAACAAATGCTCTAAGGAAAGAGGTGTTTGCAGTGTAATTACCTCCACGTGGTCATAGATTTGTTCAACACTTTGATAGCAGGCCCTGGCCCCACAGGGCAGAAGATTAAAGGGATTTCTTGCTGGGAGGCTCCGGCTTACTTTTATATGATTAGAAGCCCCGTGACCAACCCTTGACTGCGGACGAAGGTTTAATAGGAATAAATCACCATGGCAAAGAAACAAAATTTATTTATTTCCGTTTACCTTCTAAGAAAGCAGCAGGCATCATATGATCTTCATTATTGGCATGGAAACCCTGTGTTTATAAGTCAAGTTTTATCACCTAATGAATAATTTCTTTTTGAAAGTAAGTGTCCATATGGTTGAACGTGTCGTTTACTAAATAAACTGGCCTGTACATTTAGCTTTTTTCCATGTGCATATTTATACCAAAAGTTCCTTTTCTTTTACAGCCAGACAAGAATATTTAACAAGACAAGTAAGATAATAAAGTAGAAAATGAAGAAGCGGGGTTACCAAGGTGTATAAACACTATTGACTGGGGACGAAATGGACACTGTCTGCACATTGACATCATAAGAGTAGGGGCTAACACACCCTTAAAGCCAGTGTTTCATTTTGCTCAGCTATGATTAAAAAAATCCTTGTAAGTTCCTAATCTGTCTATTCTTAATTCCCTTATTCTCTTTAGTGTTGACATCACCTGACAAAGATGACACTTTGGTTTATTGACAGTTGTGACCTACTATAAAACGTTCATGTAGCTAAAACATGCCCCTGAAATCGGAGCAACACCCTTGGTCCAGCGAGTTGCTGATGCAGATAAGGCAATTCTGGAATGCTGCCACTAAGAGCCTGTTTTCTGGGACCGAGTTTCACATTCAACATTCAGTGGGGCTGGGGAAGTATGGAAGATGCGTACATGGTCTTGTGACCAGAAAGATAAACATACAGGTTTGTTAGAAAAACACCCCATTTCTTAGCATTCACTTTTAAAGTGATTTTTTTTTCAGTTTTCTTTTTCACTAAGAACAACAAACAATTTCAGGAAGACTTTCAATGGTGTGTGTGTGTGTGTGTGTGTGTGTAGTGTTGCTGGGGATCACACTCATGGTTTCACACACACTAGGCAAGGGCTCTACCACTAACACCCCCCTCCAATCCTTTAATAACTTTTATTTTGAGACAAGATCTTTCTCTCTACACCCCTGGTTGGCCTAAAACTCCCTATGTAGAACAGACTGGCTTTGATTTCATAGAGATATGCCTGCCTCTCCCTTCTGAGTGCTGAGATGAACGATGTGTGCCACCCAGCAACTTTTTTTTTCTTTTTGTAACTAAGGCATAGACAGATGCCTTCTGGTGGTTTCGTACAATGATACTGATTATTTTTTAAAGTGTGAAGATATTGTCATATTTTCCTGAGAATATTAATTTGACTGTGTTTCAAATGCTGTACTATAAATTGGCTTTGAGTTCTTCTAGTCAATGTTTACCTACCTTCTTTGGCAACTCAGTAGTAGTGGCTACACATTTTCTCTGGGTTGTCAAATTTATTAGATTCATTATAAAACTTAGATATGATAAGGCCTTTGGCTGATCTTAGCCGATAATGCGCAATCTTTTGTATCCAAATGTAAAGAGTAAATGCTCCAAGATTACAGAAGGCAACACTGAATGAGCCCTGACAACAACCAGAATGTGTTTTAAGATGTGCTTCAGGACTGTAATCCCTGTATACGGGAAGCTAAGGCAGGAAGAGCAGGACTTTCAGGCTAGCCTGGGCTCCACAGAAAGAATCTATCTCAAAATAACACCACCACCACAAATGAAGTCGTCACCCTCCCCAGCTCTTCAGTGGCACTGGTATAAGATGCCAACCCCCACCTCACTTCCCAGTGAAGAGGAGAGCTAGGAAAGGGAGACAGGTTTTATCAATCATGCTTCCTTTAAGAATTATATTTGTGTATTAATTAATTAATTAATTAATTCATTCACTTATTCATGTGGGATGTGTGTACCTCAGAGGATTACTTCTGGGTGTTGGTTCTCTCCTTCCACCACGTGGGTCCCTGGCATCAAACTTGGGTCATCAGGCTTGACAGCGAGCCTTCTGGTCGGCTCTGCTGGCTTCATCTCCTGGAAGGGTGCTAATCATCCAGAATGTGTAAGGAACTCAAAAAAGTAAACGCCTTCTCCCAGAAAAAAAGAAAAAAACAAATAATCTGGTCTCCAATCTGACAATTCTCAAAAGAAAAGGTATAAATGGCGAATAAATATACAAGACAGAAAAGAAACAAGAAACCCAACCAAACAAACAAAATACCCCAACAGGTTTAACACTCTTAATTACCAAGAAAATGAAAAGTAAAAGTAAGCTGAAATTCCGTCTTATCTCAGGAAGGTTTGGCTATCATTCAGGAAAAACACAACAAACGGGACCCTGTGGGGGGAGTGGAGAAATCCTGGCACACTGCTAGTGAGAAGGCAAATGCGTGCAACCACTGTGGGAACTGGTGTAGTCTCTAAAAACCCCACAAATGGTCCAGCTATGCCATTCCGAGGCCTACATACCAAACAGATCTACGTCAGCGCACTAGAAAGATATCCGAGCACCCATCTTTGCCATTGTACTTTATGGACTGCCCTGATCTGGAATCAGCCTAGTGTCCAGCCATAGGTGAGTGGGTAAAGAAAATATGGCAGATATCCACAGTGAAGCTTTATTCAGGCAGAAGGAACAAAGTTACATTATATGCAGGAAAATGGGAGGAATTGGAGGTCATCCTAGTGCTAGAAAAAGATGGACTCAGGAAGATAAATATGACACATATTTTCTCTCATTTGTGGAATCTAGACTTCAGAAGAAGAAAAAACACGAAAGTAGAAGGGAGATATTTAGGAGGAGAACGGGAACCAGTGATTGTGGGGCGGGGGAGGAAGGTAAGAAATAATGAAAGGGGAACATGAATAAGTGCATGAGATGCTGTATGGAAAGGAGAGCTACTCAGCCGCGTCAGATGATGCCGACGGTCACTAAGCCAGAATCAAGACCACTGTTCTGTAGCAGCCTTAGTGGGACAGTCAGCGTGTGCAAATGGAGAGAGTCAGGGGTATACAGCTCTCCAGGCCGCTGTAGGGGGAGAATGGAGACGTACATTTAAATCCTCAAGAACTTAAGAAAAAATAAAGTCATTTAAGTGTAGAGCGTCATGAAAACAGAAATACTAAGCGTTATAAATTTCTGAGCACTCAGTGATGGCTAACTGCAGTTATTCTGGAATGTGGTCTGTTTTTAATTTTTATTTTTGGACTAAAGATGTAGTTAATGTGAAACAAACATGAAAAGGATTGCCATTTTGGAAAAAAAAAGTGACGAGATGGAGAGTCAGCAGGCCGCTGCTCTTTAGCAATAAACACCTCTCCACCCCAGGACCAAACTTGTTTATTAAAGGTGTTCGAATTAGTGAGGGGACTTCGTTTCCATTACAACTGTCCAGACGTCTCTGAAATAGTTAGACATCCACAATCTGGCTAGTCCGAAATGCCCAGGGGCAAGCCAATATTTCTGCAGTATAGCACTGAATGAGTTTGCATAAGCAGCTGGACTTTTGTGCAGCTTTTCTAGGACTAAAATGAAAACACAGGATCCCCGCCCCCCCCACTCTCCCCAGCAGAGAGGAAGGATGAGCCACCCCCATTTCTGTTTTCTCTTCTGTGTTTTGACACAGTAAGGAGCTTCAGGACAAGGAACAGCCCCTCACCCCCAGCCTGAAACCTTGGAAGCACTTCCCCCAAATTCACCCCTTCTCTTGATTTCCTCTCCTCCTTTCCACCCGCCCTCTATATTTCTCACTTTTCATTTTCTCTCTGAAGCTTTCTCTAGCTCTGGTGGGCACTAGCAGCAGGCATTTAAAAGATCGTAAAGTTGTCATCCCTCCCTGAGGACATGTTTTGGTCATAATCTCACAAACTCTAAAAGAAAAGGACCTCTGGACCCTTAGAGAGACATACATGGATCTAAATAGC